TTAATCCATTCTGAACCATATGTATTTTTTTTTTAAACCACAAAAATATGACACAAAGTACAGTACACTATGAAGAGAGAGAACGCTAACCTTGCTTGAGGTGTGGAGGGTGGGGAGGCAGTTATTGCTTGGAGGGAGAGTCCCCCTCCCTACAGGAAGACATGACCACGTGTGTCAACAGGGAAAATGGCCGCAGATCCTGTTCATCACCCGATGCGGAGTTCACGAACGGAAGCAAAGTTTTGCAAACGGTGCTGTTCGTGACCTGAATTGGTCATGAACAGAAGCGTTCATGACCCGAGGTACCACTGCAGGTGATGTTACTATGGTTTTTCTTAAATATTAAATTCAATTAAATCTCTGCTGGGCAATAAGGATGTTGGAGCTTCAGCAATTCAGTCTTACACTAATTTTGAGAACTTAATATTTCACTACCTAGAATAACCAAGGGGAACAATCTCGAAACTTTATAGGCTACTATTGCAATTAGAAATAAGAGATCCACTTCTTCCTCTTAAAGGAATCTTGGGATATGCATTTTGGTAAATGCAGGAGACAAATTGGCAGATTATGGAAATCGGGTAGATTCACCTCAGCTTCAATGCAAGAACTTCCGTGGAAGATTTTACATCACTGGCACTTGATTCCAGTCAAATTATAAAATAAAATAATCACAATTATTCTTCCAAATATTGGAGAGGTTTGTTTGTTTTTTTAGATTTTTTTATCCTGCCTTTATTATTTTTATAAATTACTCAAGGAGGTGAACATACCTAATACTCCTTTCTCCTCCTCCTACAACAACCCTGTGAGGTGAGTTGGGCTGAGAGAGAGTGACTGGCCCAAAGTCACCCACCTGGCTTTCATGCCTCAGTTGGGACTAGAACTCAGTGTCTCTTGGTTTCTAGCCTGGTGCCTTCACCACTAGACCAAACTGGCTCTTTTTCATTTGTAGTAGTCATGCAATAAAGTTATACCTTTTTGGTGTAAAAAATTTTGGGGAGACAAACATCATTACTGAACAAAGAATGGAATGTATTGTCGAAGGCTTTCACGGCCGGCATACGATGGCTGGTGTGGGTCTTCCGGGCTGTGTGGCCATGGTCTTGAAGTTTTGTTTCCTAACGTTTCACCAGCACCTGTGACCGGCATCCTGTGATCACCCTGGGCACAGAGAGAACTGCTCCTGTCTGTGCTCCTGCACTCTGAAGATGCCGGTCAC